AGGACACATACATTATATACATATGCTGATCTAGAAACATATTTAAGGGATGTTATTGGTTCATAATTTACAAAGAATTTTGATGACTTTAATAAAATAAATGGAAGTAAATATATTAAAGATTCAATACTATTTTGTTAGAGAGTTTTTTATAATCTTGTTGATTAGTTTTTTCATAATCTTGTAAAGTTTCCCAAACAATCTCTTTATTTTGATGATATTTTTCATTACTTTATTTTGTGAAGAAAAGTGTAAAAAATTATATATAAATAATATAATAATTTAATTCATTAACAATCATAGATTCTTTTGTTTTAATTGTATAACACAAAACTTTTAATGACTTTATAAAAGTATGAATCTAATAACTCTAAATTTATGAAGATTTTAGATTATTTTATACAAATCTTAAATTAATAACACCAAGCTTTAACAAACTTTTAGAAAATCTTGATTGAATAACAATAGATTCTACAGAACATTTAAAGTCACTAAAACTCTATTTAAATCAAAAACCAATAACACCCCCTTAATATGGGACACAATATATTTAACGTATAAGTTTTTAATCTAAAATATTATATTCATTTATTAAAAGACATGTAAATGAAGCAAATTCATTTGATGTGTTAATCAACCATTGACTATAGTACTCTATATAAACATAATTCCTTTAAATAATCAAAAAAAGTAAAAGAAGAAAATAGATTAATATAAATAGAAAACATTTATTACTTGAAATCAGTAAAATGAAAGAAAATAATAGCCAATTGACTAAAAAATTAGTAGAGGATACTAGTATTATGGCCCTGCTATGCAGGTACAAGGCATATGCCAATTTCCATCATATATCTAAATATTTTTTACTTTAATACTAGGTTATAACCCCCGCTACGCGGGGTTTACTTTTATTGATTGTTTTAATATATTTTTGGGCTTAGTAATCAATTAATTACAACAATGTTTCATTTTTAAAACTCTTTATAGCATAAATGTTGCTTTATTTATATTTTTAGTATCATTATGTTGGTTAAAAAAAATTTTAATAAAAGAAAAGCCTATAGGATCAAAGTTGGTATTAAACATATTACAAATATGATGTGTCAAATTTTACTCAAGTATATAAAAAAACTTCAAAATTTTCGTGATAAAAATTATCTAATATCCGAACATCAAACTTGAACATGAAAAATTACCAATCAAAATTTAAATAAAAATAAACAAATGAATAAACTTACACATGTTACATATATATATATATATATATATATATATATATATATATATATATATATATATATATATATTGTATACCTTTTTTTCACATACCTCTTGATTGATTATTCTATTCAAAATTTTTATTTATTTATCCCAACTATATATTTTCTATTTTTCTTGCTTCAATTTATTGCCATACTTTCAATTTTATAAATAATTTATTTTAAATAAAAAACCGAATCAAGCCAAACCAAATTAATCCAATCCGAATTAAAATGTACCAAAATGAGTTTGATTAGAGACTTGATGTTTTATTAAAATCGAAATAACCGAATCAAATTTAACTCGACATCAAACTAAAATGCCGACCCTTAATTGTGATTAAGAAGGGATATTGGCAAATTTGGTGAGACTAAAAATGATATTATTTTATATATTCTAATAACAAAATTTTACATTTATCTTTTTTGCATATATTTTTTAAGCTTATATTTTTCTCGTTTCCATAGATAGTTTTTTTTTTTTTTTTTTTTTACTTTTTTAGAAGTATCTTAATTTTCTATTGATATTATTTTATATATTCTAATAACAAACTTATACATTTTTTGTTTGCCCATATGTTTTTTGTTAAGTTTACATTTTTCTTGTTTCATATATATATATATATATTGTTTTTTACTTTTTATAAGTATCTTAATATAGAAAATTATTAGAATCTAAAATTGCTAATTACCGAGATGACTAATCGTGATTAGTCTTTTAAAATTTTGTGGACAGTTTGAGAAGCTTATAACTTCGACTTTTATGTAGTATAGAAGCTAGTGGTTTCGACTTAAGCTATGAAATCTTCATAGCTTTTAGAGCTTCAAATTTATAAAATCATGGTCTCTAAAAACTCCAAATTTATGAAGCTTTTAGATTACTATTTAGTATTTACAAATACATAACACAAATAACATCAAGCTTTGATAGAGTTTTGATAAATCTTAAATTGAATAACAATATAAAATAATAATATTTAAATCTTCTCTTTCATACTTGTCCTCTTATTGATGATAATTAACGTGCTGTGTAAAAATGTTAACCGATGAAGTGTCTAACTGCGATTGGTCATTTAAAATCCTAGATGGACGGCCTAAAGAGCTTATGGCCTCGACATTTATATAGTATAGAATAGAGAAATAAATCAAAAAGTATGTAGCACAAAAAAAAAATCAAAACCGCATAATAGTAAATTCTTTTGAAACTGAATACTAATTGTGTTGTCAAGGTTCAATATTTATAGTTTAATGTCTAGGGTGAATCGTCATAGTTACCTTATGTAATTTTATATTTTTTAATTAAAAAATTTTCGAATAAAAATATATTCGCTGCATAATAATATTGAAATATATACTTTACATTTTTCTTATTTCTATATTTTGTTGTTTCAAAAATGCACATTATAAAATTCATAATATTTAAATCTTCTCTTTCATACTTGTCCTCTTATTGATGATAAAAAGATACTCAAAAATAATACGGACAATTACCAAAAAAAAAGATACAGTCACGTGCTATCTTTAATATAACTGTCATCGTAATCGGTTAGAGTTGGCAAACAAACACGCCAAACTTTGGTTTCTGAAGAAGCCTTGCATGGTTAAAAAGATAATTCAAAAACATAGAAGTCAAATTAATCAAACGATTATAATATATAGAACCCGATATATAATAATTTTTTTTTTAAATACGATTATTACTTCTCTTGTTCTTCTTCTTCAATTTATAATTCTTTTCCCTTTTTTTAATTTGATTTCTTTGCTTTCTACATGCGAACCACTTTTCATGCATATATTTAACATTAAAAAATTAACATTATCCAAACAAGGAAATAATTTGAAAGCTACATAAATTTTAGGATCAATAATACCTTGTAACCAGAAATACAAATCAAACAGTCTAAAATCACCAAAACTAAACAATATTTGTTTATAGTTCATAGAGAAATAAATGAAAAAGTATGTAGCACGAAAAAAAATCAAAGCCGCATAATAATAAATTCTTTTGAAACTGAATCCTAATTGTGTTGTCGAAGTTCAATATTTATGTTTAATGTCTAGGATAAACGTCATAATTACCTTATGTGATTTTATATTTTTTAATTAGAAAATTATAAAATAAAAATATATTCGCTGCATAATAATATTAAAATATATACTTACATTTTTCTTTTTTCTATATTTTGTTATTTCAAAAATGCACATTTTTCTTCTTTCAATATATTATTTTTCTTTTCCTTTTTATTAATATTTAAGTATAGAAAATATTAGAATTTAAAAATGTTAATTAACGTGCTGTGTAAAAATGTTAACTGATGGAGTGTCTAATTGCGATTGGTCGTTTAAAATCCTAGGTGGACGGCCTACGGAGCTTATGGCCTCGACATTTATATAGTATAGAATAGAGAAATAAATCAAAAAGTATGTAGCACAAAAAAAAAATCAAAGTAGTAAATTCTTTTGAAACTGAATACTAATTGTGTTGTCGAGGTTCAATATTTATAGTTTAATGTCTAGGGTGAACCGTCATAGTTACCTTATCTAATTTTATAATTTTTAATTAGAAATTTTTCAAATAAAAATATATTCGCTGCATAACAATATTGAAATATATACTTTACATTTTTCTTATTTCTATATTTTGTTATTTCAAAAATGCACATTTTTTTCTTTCTATATATTGTTTTTCTTTTCCTTTTTATTAATTTAAGAATAGAAAATATTAGAATTTAAAAATGTTAATTAACGTGCTGTGTAAAAATGTTAACCGATGAAGTGTCTAACTGCGATTGGTCGTTTAAAATCCTAGATGGACGGCCTAAAGAGCTTATGGCCTCGACATTTATATAGTATAGAATAGAGAAATAAATCAAAAAGTATGTAGCACGAAAAAAAAATCAAAGCCGCATAATAGTAAATTCTTTTGAAACTGAATACTAATTGTGTTGTCAAGGTTCAATATTTATAGTTTAATGTCTAGGGTGAACCGTCATAGTTACCTTATGTAATTTTATATTTTTTAATTAAAAATTTTTCAAATAAAAATATATTCGCTGCATAATAATATTGGAATATATACTTTACATTTTTCTTATTTCTATAGTTTGTTATTTCAAAAATGCACATTTTTCTTCTTTCTATATTTTGTTTTTATTTTCCTTTTTATTAATTTATGTATAGAAAATATTAGAATTTAAAAATGTTAACTAACGTGCTGTGTAAAAATGTTAACCGATGAAGTGTCTAACTGCGATTGGTCGTTTAAAATCCTAGGTGGACGGCCTAAGGAGCTTATGGCTTCGACTTTTATATAGTATAGATTTGAAGAAAGTGAGTAGATGAAAGTAGAAAGTTGTGTTAGAGATAGTGGATTACGAAGAAAATCATATCGTAATTTTTTTTTTCAATTAGATTTAAAACAGAATGTTATTAAAAATACTGTATGGTTTTATTGTTTTTATTTTTGTTTTCATTACGGTGGTTTCTTCAATTAAAGTGGGAGAGAGTTTGGAAAGGTGATAATTTTGAAATCGTGGGGAGGAGTGGTTGCTAAGAAAGTGGTAAGATTTTGTTTTTTGTTAATTTTTCTCAAAAGTAAAAGAATTAGATTACGAAAGTGAAAGAGCAAAATTTGAGAGTTTTGTCACGTGTCAGATAGAAAATATTGCAGTTTTTATTAAAAAAACTGTTGATTTAGTATAAATAGATATATGTGGATACACCAATTATTCCATCTCTACTACAAAGTATATAACAAAGTTTAAAATTATCAAATTGTGTATAGGGCACGTGCCTAGGTTATACAGAGAAGAAAAAGAAGCATCCACACTACACCGAAGAGGAAGATAATATGTCGACGTCTAGGTTTGAAGAACCTAACGACGAGGAGTATGCCCGTCGGGTTGAAAGTTACTGGCGCCAAGTCTATGAATCCGATGTATGTAAATCCTTTAATCTCCTTAATTATTTTTGTGTTTAGACTTTGATCGATGATTGTCAATTTGGTGGAGATTACTTGGATCTATGTAAAGTATGATCGATGTTTGTGAATTTTTGGTTGATAGTGTTTCGACATCGAGGGTGTCAGAGCACCACCATGTATGGAAATGAATGGATTGATAACCTTCAACTGTCTATCCTTTGGGTATCCTGATCGTCCCTTGGTCAACCGTTATGCTAGATTGGGTCTTCATCGTTACAATATGAAGGAGGTATAAACTAGTCTCCTGGGTCTGTATATATATTTGTTACCATACCACAGTCAAATTTGTTTTTTGCAGGGGACAAACTTCGAGCTCGATTGTCTAATCAAATTCAACAAGCGGTGCATTGGTGCTTCTTCTTACTGGATAACTTTGGCTGCACGCGATACAGTTGCCCGCAGTCCGATGCAAACCTTTCAGGTTCAAGTTGATGAAAAGCGCGCTCGTCTTTTGGATTTGACGTGTTCTATTGCTAGAGTTAAAGGTAACTAATTAAGAGTGGCTGAATTGTTTTATATTCAAGTTGAGTAGAGTACTGATTGAATAATGTTGCATAGGAGAGACCACCACCACGGCGCCCTTCTCATCTCACAACGATTGTGTGGTGGATGGTAGATTGCCTGATTGGCCCGTAGATGCTTTCGATGGTAGCCAACGGTTTTACTTGGTAAGAACTGTTTCCACACATCATCAGTTTTTTTTTAGCGAAAGAAATTTGATATATGTAGTTATTTTTTTACATGCAGGCGGAGGGATCAGAGTTGCTGTACACACACTGGATTCATTTGTACCTGGAGCTTGCGGTTTGTAAAACTCATATGTCGATTTCAGATGTAGGTCTACTGGATTTTGTTTTTTTTTGCATATCAATGCACATACCACTGAGTGTTACATGTGGTTTTTGTTTCAAAACTGTTGCTGTTGCTGTTGCAGAAGGATCTCTCCAAGTTGAAGATTGTGAAAGTGGCAATAGAAACTACTGAGGAGGAGCCTCTAAAGGCCAAAAATTCAATCCTCTACATAGCTTTTAAAGGATTGGCCACTGGTGGTATTGGCGAGCATGTTGAACGCAAAGCTATCATTAAAAGTGGCATCGGTGAGCATACAGGATTCTTGTATCTCAAGGGTAACTTGTGCAGGGGAGAAGAAGAATTGACTCCTATGAGTGTGGTAGAACGCTGTATCCAATATCGGGACCGCTTACTCACCGTTTAGGCGACGATTTATGGTGGATCGGATTAAGTTGCTTTCCTTTTATGCGGTGTAATAACTATTAATGTTTGACCAAGTTGTTTTGTGCGTTTGGATTTGATGTTCTTAATGCGATGTGTGTGTTTTAAAGTGTATTGCGACAATAACTTATGTTTTCATGTGTTTAATGTAATTTTAAAAACAATATTATATAAATTTCTTAATTATAAAGGATTGTTGTTTTTAAAACATTAAATAGTCATAAAACTAGTCTCCGATTAATTCCGTATAACTTTTGATTTTCTTGATAGGCGCTAGGCTCGCCTTCATCGTTCGATTAGCGTCTAGCGTTTTTTTTAACAAGGGTTAAGATTGTTAATATTATTAGATTAAATAAAAAGAAACACATTTATAGAAATCTTAAGTTAATATCTATAATGTTGTTTGTAGAACATGTATGATGCTTCCAAGTTTAAAATACGGCCACTTGTTGATGTTGATAGATTGGATGATGTATATTATCCTTCTAGATGAAATTGCAACAACATTGTAATCTGTAAGATACCAGAAACTAATTCCTCGTATTTTTTTTCTTTTGCAATTTGAATTATATAAAATTTTGGTATATGTTTTCTAATCAAAGAACTTGTGGTCTAGTGGTATACCTAGGTCCATCCAAAAGATTATATGATTTAAGTTCCCGTAGTTCGACATCTTGGAGCGGGGCTTAATTTAATCGTTCTAGTCTACGGCCTACGGAATCTTTCAGACCAAAAACGTTAAGACAAAAATATCATATAGCTTTTGTCCTTAGGATACACAAACAAGACAACTCCAGACATCAAAACAAACTATCCAAATTGTTTACAATGAAATTTTTCTTTGTTTTTAAGGCTTTGAATGAGAATTAGGCTTTCTCACCATAACTATTTTCAATCAATGAACGACAGGTTTCAACGGATGAGCTCTCAGCTTTGACAAATCCAGACCAGCATCAAGCTCCTCGTCCAGCTCCCCGATAACACCTCTGATGAAAGATGACACAAAACTTTTAATAAAACAAAAAAAAAACAAAACAATTGCAGTGTTAGAAAATCACTGATGCTGGAGGATAAGATTTACATGTTGTCGCCTCTGATAATGTACAAACCCAACACATGTTGTTGTACTCCTTCCTGAAAAGATGAAGACAGTAAGAGGTCTCAATCTTAATTCCAATATCCATCATTTTAACAGAATTCTGCTGCCTTCACACCAAAAACCTCCAATAACATTGGTCTAATGAAGTATCAACATGACCTGACATACTCTTAGCGCAAACAAGAAAACAGACATGAATCAAACCTTTAAGCTTCTTGTGAAAACAAAAGGTGATCATGTATACACACTGCCAATATACATTTGACTCACCTAGCACTAGCTAAAGCTTTTGACAAGTGAACTCACAATATTTTTCATTCAGTTATAACATTTGAAGAATACCAACACTAAATCTGTTACTGTGTAAGCTCCATCGTCATATATGTAATGGTATCCACACTATCTGATTTAGATACTTCCATTCAGAGGCCAATTATTTCTTTATTCACTATTCTCTCACCAAACAAAGTAGAGACAAGGCCTATCTTAAATATCTGAATATGTTTGTTCCTCAATGTTCTATTGAAAAGATGGCACTACACAACTAAATCAAGCAATGTACATTACTAGCAAGAATGTACTACCAATTAAATGGCCAACACCAGACGATGAAAGAAGCTTTGACAATAAACCAAAGTTAAAATAGCATCCTACTGAGCTAGTACATCTATTTTTCTCGTTTTAAGCGATCACTACACACAAAATATGGAGACATTGAGAACTCTACTACATCATAGCCATTCATGGATACAAACTAACAAGGTTTTCAGGTCATACACTGGCTAATTTACTTGAACAAAAATGTCTTTGCACCCATTCAATTTGGTAACATCGAAAAGTTCAGATAAATTACTTAAAAACAAAAATCAGAAGCTAACCTTAGTGGAAAACACGCGTTCATGAGATTCATCAAGGATTATATTTGTAGCTTGGTCAAAACCTTTTAGAACTCCCTGAAAAAATATAAACAAATCGACAATGTTTACTAATATACATTCTTTAACATAAGGAGTTCTCAACCAAATAGAGAGTATAACATACCACAATGTTGCGTCCATCATTTGTAATCACCGAAATAATCTCTGTAACCCCAATCAAAAGATAAGATTTTTAGACAATTCATGTGCCAGAACATTAACAAATCAATTCTGAATCTTGCTTAATGACAAAAAAGACTAACTTACGATTGACAAGATCCTCAAGTCCAGTATTTGTTGCCATGTAAACAGTCCAGAGAACTATATGACCTGAAATTACTAAAAAAATATTAGACTAGGAATTTCATCGAACACTTGGTGGGCATTATTGATGACAACAAAAAATCAACAGATTTTGTATCTCTCTCGACGAGAGATTTCACCAAACCTTACATAAACCCAGAATTAGAAGAAACAAAACATAATTTCACATCAGAAAAGAACCAAATGTAAAATTGATTCTGGTTTCTATGAATTTCACATCGGAGGGTTTCAAGGGTATTCAGAAGAAACGTATGAGGAAGACGAAAGAGAGAAAAAGCTCAAACCTTTGTTGCTTTCGAATCTAAAACTCGTTCCTTGACGGAGATTCTGATTGGTAAAAACCCTAAAAACCTTTTCCTCACTGTCCTCCGAAAACTCTCCGGCGTGTCGTTTTGCTTAGATGTGTAGGTTGAAAGAAATTGCTAAAAGAAATACTCAAACCCAAACCGACATTTTCCGGTTTAATTCATCAATTTTTCCCCAAACCGAAAATTATGAAATATTTGACCTGAACCGAACCGAACCGAACCGTTTAACCCACCAAGTAGGCTTGTGCGTTCGAGTTTCGGATCGGATTCCGTTCGGGGTTTTCGGATTCGGATAAGAAAGTTTAGTATTCATAGATGTTTTATGACTATTCGGTTTGGATTCGGTTCGGTTTTTTGGGGAAAAGAAAAACTAAAAATATGTTTAATTTTGAAAAAAACTAGAATTTAATCCGCAGTACACCGTGGAGCTATATTTTTTTAAAAAATGTAATGTTATTTTTTAAAAGATTAACTGAAGATATATCATATTAGTTTGTATTTTTAAATGTAGATAAATGTAGATATCTATCTATGTATTATTTAGTGTATGATTACTATTGTTTAGGTTTCAATTTTTGAAGTATAGATACGAAAACATACATTTTTTAAGTAACGATGTATGGTCAATTTTAAAATTTTGAATATTTTACTCCGCGGTATACCGTGGGTCGATTTTTTTATAACTAAATTTTTTAAATTTTAAGTTGTATTTGTTTTGTTAATATTGTATGTTTTGTTTTGTGTTTAAGGTTGTATAACTTTATTTTGATTGTTAATTTTAGGATTTCATCCGTGATATACCGTTCTTTATTAATATCGACCCAAACCCGTCATCCCATATAAACCCGTCTATATTATCCCGTTAGCTAAATTATTAGTGTTATAAAATCCAAAAAAATAAATTATTATTGTTATAAAATCCAATAATTTTAGGATCTCACCGTGGTATACCGTTCCTTGAATGATTTTAAATTTATACTACTAATATATATTTTAAATTTATCATATAAATTATATGATTTTTCTATGTGAATATTTTGATTATTATAAATTAGTAGTTTTATTGTTATGCAAAATGTTAATATAAATATTTGCTATAAATCGGTTTTATGCATATTTTGTGGAGTAAAATTCACATAATTTTTTTTTAAGATATATAGAAAGATTGTGTAGAGATTTTTAGAAACAAATTAGGCAAGATATCATTTGGTTAATATCTTTTATTTAAATTTTGTAAAACTAAATGATAAATGCCAATGACATGGACTCGTAAATAAGGTGAAACTCCAGGATTTATTTCATATTTGTACTTCAAAAATGTATATATAGATGGTATAATTTTGACAAATATAACTACAGTTCATTATTTTGTTATTTGAAACTTTTAGGTATAAAATAATAACTAAATACAACTAATATTTTCAGATCTATACTTTTATTTCTGATTTTCATGTATACTATTCGGTTTTCGTTTTGGTTCCAATAATCAGCCCCGGCTCAAAGGGGTGGGGCGGAGGTGCGACGGCCCGAAGGTTTTTTTTTTTAAAATTTACATATAAAAAGGGCCAAATATTTTTAAAAAATATCATTAATATGAGAATTATATTTCAAAAGGCCTAATTTTTATAAGAAAAATATAAAAACGCCCAAAATTTTTAAAATAACAATTTTCACTATAAAAAATCTACAAATTTTTGAAAAAATAACTAAATTTTCTTTTTATATAGAATAATAAGGCCAAAAAAATTTGTTGCCCTAAGTCTCCCAAATATATTGGGCGCTGCCGATAATTCGGGTAAAAATATTTAGAATCCGTTCAGGTTTTATACCTACTCGATTTGGTTTCATAACCGGATGTTTCGTTCCAATTCCGGTTCAGTTTTTAGATTTCAGGTTTTATGCCCAAGTGAAGAAGAGAAGAAGATTCATTGAAATTGATTACAAAATAAACCAAACATACGAAACAACTATAAATGTCTATAATAGACAAACAAAACAACAGTTACTCCTTATTAAACCGCAACAACACGAGTTTGTGTTATTGCTAAAAGTGAAACTCTAGTCACGTAAGATTGTTGCTACCAGATGATTCATCCAACGAACCACCTCTCTTCACAGTCACATACTTCTCAAAACTCGGTTCCATAAGATCCGCTTTCTTTGCGGTCGATGTGAATCTAAACCGGCTCGAATCAGAGCTCAAACAAGTGTTGTTGGTCATAGAGTTGAGATCAGCTACTGCTTCAACAATGGAACAAGCTTTAGTAACACATAAAGGCAGCGAAATCGCGTTATCATCGATACTCTTCCCATGAAAATTCTGAATGTCTTTCAACAACAATGCAGTGTAATTGTTATCTTCGTTTGATACCAAATCGAAATCTCGCGATTTCCTTAACGATCTGCTTCTGCTTAATACAACTTGAGGAGGTTTTGTAAGTTCTACAACCGCGGCACGACTTGGGCTTGGAGCTCTACTTGTTCTTGAATTAGGTTTCACAGATTCTATCATCTTCTTGGTGTTACAAGATCCAGCTTTCGACGAGTTTTGATCAATCTCTCCTAATGGATTCCTTCTATACGGTGATTGCTCCGCCTTTCTTGAATTACTCCGGCTTAGCGACGGAACATTATTCCCCGCTCTTGCCGGAGACTTCGATCTCGGAGACGCTGCAATTCTACAAGCGTCTCCGATGTTTCTCTTAACCGTAATTCGTTTTACCAACGGCTCTACTTTGTTACTCTTATCCCTCGCCGGAATCGTAACAAACTTTCCCGGTCTACTATTACTAGAATTTACCGAACTACCACACGAATTAGCGTTTGGAACCTCTGATCGTTTCGCCGGAGATCTACTCACTCGCCTACTACCACCACCACCGCCACCGCCATTTCCTCTTTCTTTGCTTCCCGATCGTTCTCTTTCTCTGCTCGGAGTTCGTCTTCTCCGTTCACGAGGCGAACCATTCACTCTCTCTACTCCACGGTGACGATTCCGCTCCATTCCGTCTCTCTCCTCCTCCGTATCGCCGCCGCGAATTCTCTCGTTCTGGTCAAAATCAAAACTTCTCTTTGAACCAGAGTATCTTCTTGTTTTAGCAGCAGAGTTGCTTCTACTTAGCTTCCCACATTGTATCAATATAGCATCAACTTCTTCTTTAGTACAGCTCGAGATTCTCACGACCGGTGTAGAATTCGGTTTCTCAGCCACCGGAGAATCTTTATCTGATTCAGTCTTCTTGGAACTCTCTTCATGGCTTATTCTGTGTTTTATCACCAAGACTTCTTCTTCTTGAATCAGTTTCTCAGATTTTGGTTCTGTTTCTTCCTCCAAAAGCTTAATCACTGGTTTAATGGGATCTGAGGGTTTAACAGTACAAGAGGTACCATTAGAGGGAAGAGGAGAAGGAGAAGGTTTCTTGCTGAGACAGCAACCCATTTTGTGCTAGGGAATTTTGAAGAACAGAGAGAATTTGAAGTAGAAGTGAGTCAAGAACAAGAGAGATTTTAGGGGAATGTTTTTGTGTAAAAAGACAAAAAGATTCAAAACTTCAAATTTTTTGAGAATATTACTTTTTTGTTTGGTAATGCGATTTGTGACAGACATAAGTCCTTATCAGAAAATATTCGAAATGGGCCCTTTACTTTCTGAAATTATGAAACGTGGGGTGAGATTGTAAGCTTTGAAGAAGATTGAGTTCAAATTGAAATTAATTTATTTTACTAAAGATAGTAATTTTGAAATTGGAGCCGTTATACACTGCAGTCAATGTCGTACTTATATATGAACCTTTTTCCCTTTTTCAAAGCAAAATTCTTTTAATAAGGTTTTAGAGTTTCAACGGCTATTTGCATGTTTGATGGTTTTGTTAGGTTACCAAAAGAATCTCTTCAAACAACTATGATGTTATAAATTAGGATATGACTAAACTAAATAAACAGTAGTGGTTTCTATTGAATCTATTTGATACAAATTTTCTTTATGTACAAATATTTTACTGAGTTTTAGTTTAGTGATATTTGTTGCTAATCGACTGTTTTCAACAAACATTAACTAATGAACAAACTTATGGTGATATGCAAATTCTTCATCTATATATACATTTTTGAATTATAAATATGAAATAATTCCTGAAGTTGCCAATTATTTACAAGAGAATATCATTGTCATAAATGTTTATCTATTAATTAATATTATAAATTATTTTTAAAAATATTTTAAAAAACATGGTTTCCAAAGATGGTAACAAACTGATTTTGTTTCTAAATTTGATTAATTGCTAATTTCTTAAAACTTCTCTACCTAATTTAAACATTAATATATGATTCTTCTTTCATTTTTATATGATCTTATATTTAATTTATTTTGAATTTATATAAAATACATATAATTGATAAAATAATATATATTTTTTTCTACATATGATGTGATTCAAATTACTCAATCGACGAAAAAAAATAACAAAATGCTGTTTAATTTCACGGGACATGGTTATATGGCGGGACGGGTTTGAGTCGATATAAATACGGGATGGTATACTACGGCTGAAATCTTAGAATTAAAATAAAAATATAATTATATAATTTTAAACACTAAACAAACCAAACAATATTAACAAAACAAATATAACACAAAATTAAAAGTTTTTAGTTTTAAAAAATAGACCCGCAATGTACCGGAGTAAATTTTTTAGATACAAAATAATATCAAATTATTATAATAGTTCATGATTATAAATGCTTGACAATATTAACATTACATTTCTACACCTACAAATCTTCTAAGTACATCAATACAACTTAACACATTTAGGTAACAAATACAACAACTCAAAATCAATACTTATATATTTCAACTATATTAATTATAATATAAAATAAACAAATGAGTAATAATTTTTTTAAATTGTGAATTTCAAAATTCAATAAATTATAAATTATTATATAAAATACATAAAATACAATTTTACCCTGCGGGTTAATTTCTAGTATCATCATATGTTCGGTGGAGGATCCAATTTTGTTTTTTTTTTTAATTATCAGAATTAACTAAAATACTAAAAAAGAAATGATATATATATATATATATATATATATATATATATATATTAGTCTTCTATATATATATGTATTAAAAAAATTTCTTTTCAGAAGTTTAAAATTTCTTTTGAGATAGTTTTTTAATCAAAAAAATTAGTCTTGTATCAAACTTATCAAACCCTAAACCTTCAATTTGGCCATTCTCTTAAAAACCTAAGAAAAGTTCATAATGTCTTAGAGTCTTTTCGCCCAAGAAAAGCACTAAAAGCAATATCTATTCATTCATTAACAAGGAACCGTACCTGCCAAAGCGTCATAGGGTTTGTAATTGGGGTCGTTTACAACGCCTGATCGCACTGTTGGATTTCCTTCTTTCCACTAGAAGATGAAAGCTAACATCCGTATCTATCTTGTGTCCAAAAATGAGGAAGATCTATCGATGGGAAGTCCTTCATCGGAAGCCAAACTTCTGACGCTTCTCTACAGCTCTGCATCTATAATCATCCAGAAACTCCTCTTTTCTCCGATTGATGCATTTTGCATTATTTCTCTCCCAAAATACTTACTTTGATTCCAGCAGGTCTAGAACCTAAAAACACTAAAACACATAGAGAAAAAAAGACTCAATAATCTCTATACTATTAAAAGAGAAGTACAAAAGTACTTGGATCGGATTAATAACAAAAAAAATAGAGCAATTGACCCGGAAAGATATTATTTTGATCTTTGAGACATAATTACAAAATATTAAACTCTGAAATTAATGACCATTAAGCATTAATTACGAAAAAGGAGCATTAATTACCTAACAAAAACGAGAATTGCGTTCATATTATAAATCGGCTTATGTGGCAAATATCTTAAGCTTAAATCACTCCCTTGGTATATTCTTCTAGGTCAAGTTTAAATCTTAGTTTAGTTCCCATCAACAATATACAAACGGCTTTGGAAATAAGATTATGCAAAAAACATCGTTGAGATCTTAATTACCTTTCTTTTGTGCAAGAATACCTAATTTATCGCCCAAACGATCTTACTTACTTTATTTTGAATTAGAATCGAAAAAAATCTCTATAATATAAAATTGGAGTATATATCAAACCTTTATCATATATTTTGTTGAGATCTTACTTCTTTTTTTTAATTGTTCTCTAATAAAAAAAAATCCTCGATTCTCGCTGTTGAATATACTTTGCCGAATAAACTTTGCATAAACCCTACTTTTGTTAATAAATGTGTTACCAGTATAAATATATGATCCAACCATCCGTATAAACACAAATCATTACCATTTTACTTTACTTCCATCAAACAAACTCTTTCTCCCAAATGGCTCTTAATAACGTTTTCACAAATCTCAATGGTATCAGATCTTTCAAAACAACCTGGCGAATTCAAGTCAAAATCGTTTACTGTTGGATCCAGTATACAAGTTACACTGGCGAGACTGTTGAGATGATTTTGGCAGATCTAGAAGTAAGACATCCTTTTTCTTAAACTCTTGCGTTATTATAATATTATGTTTGCATCTACGATTTCATACTTTAACCATATTATAATATTCAACTTTTGTAGGGTACTTTGATTCATGCCACTATCAAGAAACAACATCTAGCAAAGTTCAGCAAGTTGCATTTTGCCTTTTACAAATTTCTGTAAACAGCTTAACAACTTCTATAAGTTCACAAACCAATTTAAATGACTACTGTTTATATATTTCTTGCAAAACTATTTAATAAATCACTTTTATTAAATCATTGATTGATTTTAAAAAACACTAATCAATATACGAATAAATTTAAACTTCCATATATTTTATTCTCCCAAACCGAAACAGATATTCCAAGAATCAAATAACAAGAATACTTTATATATAGTTAGTAAAATATATTGTCAAGATCAAACATATTACTGTTTCCTGATATATAATATTAACATTCCTATACTATAATGAAAGATTTAGTTTTCCTAATTATTGTAATATCTAAGATATTATCTTTTCAAAAATAACAACGAACAAATCTATTAATATTAGTCAACTTGCTGAACAATTGTGCTAATTATCAAAAACCTAATTGTTTAGTCTTCCGTCTCTATATATACACACACAGCAACATAACACACTCATAAACAAAATTTCAAACATATATTGAAACCTATGGCTCCTACCACAGACTCGAAAAAAAAGTGGATATCCTATGTTATTAGCTTGGTTTAATCTTAATCTTTACAACTCTCAGGCAAGATGCTTAACATTTGATGAAATTCCTACTTTTTCACTTGGAATAAACAGGAGAAAAAGTTTCAACACAGGAGAAGATCATTTCAAAATGGGCGCACCAGGTATCTTTCCCCTTCAATGGATGCAAACGCAGATTTGAAACTACTTTTTCGTTTTATACGAGGTCCCAAATGCGATGAAGATCTCCGGACGTTTAACGGTGTCGTCTATCCAACCTACAAAGAAGTTTGTGAAGCACGTGGTTTGTTAGAATAATAACACATGATTCACTAATATGCTATTACTGCCATTGTCGTTTACTTAAAAATTTAGTTCTCCTCCTTTGCTTATTTCTATCTTCAATTGCTTAGTCAGCATGTTTTCTAAACATAAAATTCTTATTACTACTATGTAATAATTCAATTCAATTCAACTTTACTACTAAGTCTTACCTTATGCTCTTCCTTTAATCAAATAAATTTCTTTAAAGCATGTATTTACCTGTTCATATTACAATACCATCCAAACTAAACCAAATTTGCTAACAATACTTTCCCAACAGAGATTCAAATAAATGCATAAAATTCGTCTATCTCATATTCAGATACATCACCTGTTAAACTTAATATCAAGGCACTGATACTCATCAATGAAAACTAACTAAACCGATAGATTGAGGAATTATATACGAATTTCGTTTGACCTTATCGCCATTTATAAGTTCACTATTTGACAGTACAACAATCAGCACAAACTACAACCCAAGCTTCCTGTATAATAAAACCTATTTCACCTACTATAACAACTTAATTTCGAAGATGTATTATTAATTTGTAAGTTCTGAATTCGAATCGATTGCAAGTTATATAGATCTTATAGATGAAAAACATAATTTTTTCTTACCTCTTCGATTTTAATTCTATTAAATTTGCTTGCTAAGACAGAAATCGGAGATGCAATCTCTCAATTGATGGGTCTCTGGGTAATTTTGATTTCACTGCAGAAGAAGATTGAAGATTTTTTCTTTTTCGTTTTCTTTTTTTTTTTCCTGTTGTTGAACCGACACATATTAAATGGCGGTGCTATGAATTTCACGGCTCTAAGCCCAATTCCATAAATAATATGTCAACAGTTGGGTTTCAGATTGGGCCTTATTCATAACAATATCGAATTCAACACTTCACATACACATTTTCATATACACAATAAAACACACACAATATTAATAATCAAATCCTAAATACCTTCCCCGCGGTGGCACCGGGGACTCTTACCTAGTATACATTAGAAAGACCTATGAAATATGTTAAAATAATCACTTAACACATATCAAATATCAAACTAAGGCGAATTGCAAACGAATCGAACCTAATTCAGATTACTAACAAGATAAATTCAAGTGGAGTTAGATGACCCCTAAATTTAGTTCTTCGTGTGACTAGGATACAGAGACATTTGAGACTTATTTACACAAAAAAATAAACTACATCAACACTAAAAAAAATTGTGTGATTGGGGATACAATCCCACTAATATAGGGAAAACACTACTTCTACGTCTCCTTTCGTCTCTCTATTAATCAATACAAGTTTTCTCTAGTGTTAAACAATTTGCTTTCATCAAAATCAACATAAACTTCTTTCTGTTTTTTTACGCAAACTAATAGAACCACATGTTTTGACTCTACATGCAAACAAGATATGTAAATGGGTTTAATGGGCCAAACAACTAACAAATTATCTATATATACATTTTTGAAGTACAAATATGAGATAAATCCTGGAATTGACACTTATTTACAAGAGAATCTCATTGCCATAAATGTTTATCTATTAATTAATATTACAAATTGTTTTCGAAATTATTTTTTAGAAACTGTGGCTTCCAAAGATGGTAACAAATTGATTTTGTTTCTAAAGTTGAATAATTACAAATTTCCTAAAACCTCTCTACCTAATTTAAACATTAATACATGTTTCTTCTTTCATTTTTACATGATTTTTTTTTTTTTTTTGTCGTCTCACTTTTACATGATCTTATATTTAATTTATAAAATACATATAATTAATAAAATAATAGATTTTTCTGCATATGATGTGATTCAAATTTTTTAAAACGGACATATATCACTCAATCGATAAACAAAACATAAGTGTACAATGTCCCACATTGCTTAAAAAATTGGGCAATGGTTCATAGTCATACTATAAAAAGGACCAAAATGATTCTGAATATGGATGAGCGGGAAGCTTGATTTATAAGGCGTCCCCAATCAAAATTGTTATCCGGTTTACTCTGGTTCTTTATTTGAAAGAACTGAAACTTTTAAAAAATTTCAAAATATTATAAATATTTAAACTTTATTAAAAGTTAAATATTAGAATTATTTAAACTTTTTCTAAAGTTAAACTTTATAAAATGTTTTACATATTTATAAAACTAAAAATTCTATGAAGTTTCAAACATTTTAAATATTTGTACTTTATAAAACTTTTTAAGAAGTTTAAACATTATAAATATTTATACTTTATAAAAAGTTTAAAGTATTTATAATATTTAAGTTCTATAAAAAGTTTATAATATTAATAATATTTGAACTCTATAAGAATTAATATACATATATTATCGGAACCATTTAAATCAAACTTTTAAATTGACGCGAATTATATGTCTTTTAAATAATAATATTATTAAAAAGAAAATTAACAAAATACTGTTTAATTTCAAGGGACGAAGTTATATAGTGGGACGAGTTTGGATCGATATTAATACATGACAATTTAGCTCGGGTAAAATCCTAGAATTAAAAATAAAAATATAGTTGTATAATCTTAAACAGTAAACAAACCAAACAATATTAACAAAACAAATATAACCTAAAATTTCAAGTTTTTAGTTTAAAAAATTGACCCGCAATATACCGGAGTAAATTTTTTAGATACAAAATAATATTAAATTATTATAATAGTCTATGATTATAAATGCTTGTCAATGCAACATTATATCACTTCTACACCTACAAATCTTCTAAGTACATCAATACAAATTAACACATTTAGGTAACAAATACAACAACTCAAAAACAATATGTATATGTTTTAACCCCCGTTCGAAAACGCGGCCTCCGCGGCCGCCTAAGCGGCGATTAAGCGGTCGGCGAACGGTGGCCGCCGGGATTTGTCTAAATCGGGTAGTTAATCGGAAAAATCAAAATTTTTGTAGTTTATGGTTAAAGATTTTATTATATATGTCAGATCTATCATATTTGTACAAAAAAATTGAACAAAAACAAGTTAAAAATGATGTTTAATATATGAAAAACGAGCAGCCACCATTATTAGGGTTTGAAACTCGTCAACCTTATGTGAAGAAGATGATTGTCTAATGTCTATTTTACCCTTCATTAAAGAATAAGTCAAAACGGGAATTAAAATGAGATATGGGGACTCAAACTCGGGAATATAAGTACAGAATATATGCCGTAACCACTACACCAAACCAACTTTCAATGATATCTAAACAAATAAATTTTATATATACACACATTCAGATAAATGCCCTAAAACTAATCCCCGATTAATTTCCGTGTAATCCCCGATTAACCGATTAATCGCTAGGCCCGGCTCGAGCGCCCGACTAACGCCTAGCGATTTTTTGAACAAGGGTTTTAACTATATTAATTATAATATAAAATAAATTAATGAGAAATAATTTTTTTTAATTTATGAATTTAAAATACATAAAATACAATTTCGCCCGCGATGTACTGCGGGTTAAATCGTAGTGAATAGATGTAATAAGGAAACAATAATATTAGAGGGAGGTGAAGAAGATAAGGAGGTGACTTGGTAAAGTACTGACTCTGACACCATAATTGTGGTCAATAGGTCCCCTCTACACTCTTCTCTTTTCACCCGGCTCCAGTCTTGGAATTTCCAAAAAAAAAACTGACTGATTTGGTGAAATTTGCAGGTCATTTGTTAATAGCGTTTCGTACATAAAGATACTATCGCCGGAAGATGTGCAGAAAAAGGGTGAGCCTGGCGAAGGCAGCAACGGATTCTTCCCACAGAACCTGTCCCATTTCTAGGCACTGCAAATTATCTCTTCCTCATGTTTCGTCTACTTCTCTCAAAGTTGGACGATTTGTATGAATGTATCATTTCGCAAGTTGGGTGTTAGAATCTTCCAGGCCCTGTACTGAGCACTGTCTTAAACATAACATCCTTGTTTAGCTAATGTTTAACTCATATTGTCATCATTACTCTTCTTTTAGTATGTGATAATGCCCATTAGTTTATAGATTAAGCTATGGTTCCACACAACACATTCTGACGAATTGATAGGGGACTAATAAGTGAATCTAACTTTGTTCACATAATCAAATGATGTCAATAGCTTTTATGAAAACATAAGAAAAGAGTATATGTTGAAAGCAAAATCTTGAACCTTTTGTGTTGACATAGAGAAAAACAAGACCGGCTTTGAGACATCTAAAGATTCTATAACAAGACAATAATTAGGGACTGGATACATGAAACTAGGCCTGGGCATTCGGGTACCCGTTCGGGTTCGATTCTTTTTTTTCGGGTATCGGATCTATTCGGGTAGGGGGTCAAGACCCATTCGGGTATTCTAAAAATTCGGTTCGGGTTAGGTTCGGGTTCGGGTCGGTTTGGGTATTTTAATAAAAAAAGCAAAATATCCGAAAATAACCAAAAATACCCGAAATATTTTCGGGTTCGGGTCGGGTCCGGGTTTTTAACTCATATATACCCAAATCTAACCGAAATACCCGATTTCTCGAAAATACATTGGTTACTCTTTACCCAAATATAACCAAAAATATCTAAAATACCTAATATATTCGGATTTATGATTGTAATTTTAGGTATTTCGGGTATTATAAATATAAATATAACTAATATTTTTAGGTGTATATTTGTATTCGGGTACATTCGGGTATTGGATTCGGTTCGGGTTCGGTTCGGGTTTTTTTCGGGTAGGAGGTTAGGACCCATTCGGGTATTTTTAAAAATCGGGTTCGGGTTCGGTTCGGGTATTGTTCGGGTTTTTCGGTTCGGGTATTCGGTTCCGGGTATTTTGCCCAGGCCTACATGAAACAACCTCAAATTAAATTTATATACAGAAAGAGACTAGAAGAAACAAACAGAAGATAAAAAATGATTGATACTAGGTAAATCACTGCTAGACTATAGCAAAACGAAGAACCAAAAGTTCAAAAGATCGATCCAGAAAGAAAAATAAGGAACCTCATTGTTCCTCTGCATTTTTAAACATCAAGCTTTAAGCTATATTCATACACAAAGATGACCATAAGCAATAGAAACTAGACACTCCCATGCTTGAAAGCTATGCATACCAGAGATCATGATCAACGAGAATCATCCACATAACCTGCGACCTACTTTAACGGTCTCGCTACTAGCTAGTTCGAAAGATAACAAGAAACGGAACAAAAACTAGACACTGCCTGGAGTTTACAATGCTTGAAAGCTATTAAACCACACAATCCTGCAACCAAGTTTAGCTTCTCGCAAATCAGAAAGACCGCTTATCGACCTTGATTCCGTCTATGATGAAAACCATTTAGCTGTTCAAACCACAGATTGGGAGTCAACGAGTATATTCTGCGACCTACTTAAAGGGTCTAGCCACACTAGCTAGTATTCTATTAATGAAACAGAAACTAGACACTGCCTAGAGTTTACAATCCTTGAAAGCTATTAAACCACAATATGGGCCAATGAGAACCATACACACACATCCCAAGCCAAAAAAGACAGCTTCTCGATGTCAGCCCATCTACGATGAAACCATTAAGCTCCTAAACTAGTCACATTGGTGTCAACAATAGTGAATACATCCATAAACATATATAAACGAACATTCATAATCACACTTATATAACAAACATCCACTACAACTCATAAAGCAATGATACTTAAGTATATTAGGTTTAGATAAATCCATCAGATAGATGCAACATAGACAACATATAACAACGTAAATCATGATGAGATGATTAAGCAGAATCTGAATTCACAACCTCAAATCAAGCAGATTCCTTCACCGGAGCTGGAGCTGGAGCTGGAATCTTAACATAACCCAATTTCTTCAAGCTAGCAGCATCAGATTCATCATTCTCATAATCATCTTCTTCATCAAAATCAAAGCTCTGACGATTCACAACAAGAGCCCAAACAAGATACATAGTAGCAGCTGTTAAAGCACCACAACCAACACCGAACAACAGAGCGACGACGACGCTGAGAATATCTCTCGTTCGATCTCTAAACGAATTGATATTCTCAGAGATCAAAGGGAGGGAACGATCCGATTGGATCTGTGGCTTCTCGTGACGACGATTGACGAAGAAAGGAACGATGTGGTGAGGATTGAGACGACGGATTGTGAAAACGGTGACGAATCGAGTGGAGGTGAAATCGGATTCGAGGTTAGGGTTTTCTGGGGTTATTGAGAGGGAATATGAGGAGATGAGGAAGGTTTTGCAAGGACGTGCGACGGAGATGGTGGTGATTGAGAGAAAAGTTATGACGGCGATCGCAAATCGGAGGTAAGAGGATGGTGATGATGATGACGCCATTGTTATCGTCTTTGACTTCTTCTTCTTCTGCTGATTTTGAAGACAAACCTAACCCAAGAAGATTCGGTGAACGAAGAAGATTAAGAAGATTTTTTTAAGTTTCATGTTATTATGAAATAACCCCTTTATTTTTGTATTTGATCATATAGGTCCTTTTGTATCTTTTTGTTATAAAAGGGATAGAAAAATTTATTTGATTTAAATCCTCAACTATTTTATTTTGCCAATTTAAATCCTTTACTAGTTTATTAGAAATTTAAATCCTCAACTACAGGCATTACAAAGGATTATCTAAAATGCATTAAGTCCAGATTTCATTATTCCTCACATTAGCAAACAATAGATTTATTTCTCTATTTACCTAATTTTTTGGTGTGGTTAATTGTTAATTGATATGGATTTTGTCGAAGTTATACAAGTTCTAATACCACAAATATTTTTTGTATTATGTGAATAGTCGGAACCCACCTCACATATAATCAAATTTTTAGAAGTTACAATTCATAAGATTTTAGTTATTCTAAGCAAGTTAATGATGCATCTATATATATATACATTTTTGAATCACTTTTAACAAATAAATCCTGGACTTGGAACTTATTTACAATACAATGCCATTGGCATTTAATGTTTTAACAAAAAATTTCTCAAATCTAAATATTAATCGATTTTGTTACTAAAATTTAGGAAACTAAAAGAAAAAAATTACAAAAATCATTTAAATTTTTCCTAATTCTTCATTAAAAAAAAAATTTGTTTTAGTTTTATGTTTTATTTTTTATTTTTTCATATGTTTGATTATGTTTTTTGCCAATCATGTTTGTTCAATATAATATCACTCTTCTTGAGAAGATCGAAATTGATTTTATTTTATTTTGAATCACTTTTTGGAGAGTATGATCTTCCTCTTATAGTAGTAGTTCATATGTACAAGCCATCCATCACAATTTAAAAAAAAAAAAAACACTCCCTAAAACTTTCTTTTCTGATTTTTTAATTCCGGCGTTCTAATTTTGTTTTTCTATATACTTTTTTCTAATTTGCAATTGTACAAAATAATTATCACTCCCTAAAACTTTCTTTTCTGATTTTTTTATTCCGGCGTTCTAATTTTGTTTTTCTATATACTTTTTTCCAATTTGCAATTGTACAAAATAATTATCACTCCCTAAAACTTTCTTTTCTGTTTTTTATTAAATTTTGTTCTTTTTCTGGTAAGAATAAATTGTACATGTATTACGTTGATATTGCTAATTCAAATAATGTTAACAAAAATGCCCAAATATAGGCTATATTAAAAGAAAAAACAGTTAGTCAAAAACACAAGTATATCAATCCCAAGTTATGATTAAACTAAATATTTATTTATAATATTTTTTACCCAAAACAATAAATTTATATATACTAAAAAATTTGAAGTACCTTTTTTAAAGTACTTTTGTGTTAGTAAAGTAAGAATTTACAAAGAATGTCATCACATTAAAGTCAAAAAACAATTATTATTTTTGAAATATTATTATTGATATATTTTAAATTTATAAAACATTATTAATTAAAATATCATGAGACGAGTTATATAGCGGGACGGGTTTCGATTAATATAACATGGGTTATATCTATACTTTATTATTTTATCATCACTAATTTTTTTTAGTTACAACATTAATATAAAATTATATAACTTTAATACTAAATTAAAAACCATAAAATTTAATATTTATTATATATATGAATAAAACATTTGCCCCGTGGTGTACCACGGGTTAAATCCTAGTTCAAGGTTAAATACTAATTGAGCAATGTGAAATTTGGGTTTAGGATGCTCAAAAGGTTTTATCCCATCACATGTATAAAAAAAACCCAATTTGTTTTTATTACAAAATAGAACATAATATGTTTATGGGCCTTTTAACCATCGAATGTGCCTAACGTACAAATACATATGGTCCATAATTTGTTTGCAAAATTACCGTACTTAAGAGCCCAAATTTTAATAAAATCGTAGAATTAATATAATATTCCTATAAAATTTGAGCTTTTATAGAACATTACAAAGCCTAGTGTTTTAATAACGGTTGAGCCTGTTATTAGCTTCAATACATCGAATAGTCTATACGACGTTATTCAGTGCGTTTTAATTTGTTAGTCATCTAGGTTAAACTTAACTCTATATAAATTTTTCGAAATCTAAAGTCTCTTATTTCATTTTCATTTCAGCCGCCGCCTTTGAACAAATTTTCTTCTTGTAATAAGGCGATAAATTTCTATAAAACATTTTGTGTGAGATTTGGATTGTATCACATAAGATATCGAATTCTCTTAAACATTTAGCAAAAAGGTATGCTCATTCATTTTCATGTCAATGTTTTCAAATATGTGAAAACATTTGAAAATTAATTTCTCAGGAATAGCTCTTTTGAGCATTAATTAATTTCGGATGACAAAAAAAAAAAAAGAATAAATCCCATGTTCTGTTCCTTTTCACTTGCTCACAGAAATTTAGAACAAACATTCATGTGCAGATTATATTCTGTGAGATTTGACTACTTCAAATATGAGATCAAAAATCCTGCTAAGAATTTACAAAAGGTATGTTCATTAGACTGCATGAGAGTTACCCAAATATTTGAATAAATCTCAACATTTCTTATTTCAATTTTCATTGCAAACACATATTTAAAAAAAAAATATCTCAAACCAGATGTTTATGTTTCATTAAATGTTGTGAGAGATAATGATTATATGGACGAGGAGATCTCAAACTCGATCAAATATTCACAATATGTATGTTCATTCGATTTCATAGTTTTCAAATGTTCGATTAAATTTCATAAACTTTTATTTTATTCTCATTTCAGCTACAATTTTTGAACAAAAAGAATTGTGTATGTGCCATCAAATATTCACAATTTTTTTAGCTGAAATACAATTTTTGAGCAAAATATATATATATATGAAACATTCAATGCAATCTACGATCCGTCAGAATTGACCCGATTTCGAAATCCATAAAGTTAACAAAATGGATTGATCCATAAATCTAGATCTATTTTCGCGAGAAGAGATGTTTATTTTAAATAAAAAGAAAATCTGAACAAAATCAATAAAAATCGGAATATTTAAAAGTTTTTTGTTGTGATTCTATTGTATGTGAGAGAGAGAATCTGTTTCACATTGTATACTAAAATAATCTACACGTAATAGGTAAAAAATTTTGGCTAATAATATTGACTAATAAATATAAAATGTGAAAGTTTGACTAAATTACATATAATAAATATATTATATGAAACATATTTATTTTGTGAGTGAGAGAGTGTAAATATGTTTCCAATTATACTTTATTATATGTTTTTTGGTGAAACTTTCACATTTTATATTATTAGTCAATATTATTAGCCAAGATTTTTTACCTATTACGTGTAGATTACTATTGTTAGAGAATCTAAATGAAAAATCTATGTAGTATATAATGTGAAACAGATTCGTTCTCTCTCTCCCATATAATAGAATCACAACATGATACTTTTGAATATTTCAATTTTTATTGATTTTGTTCAGATTTTTTCTTTATTTAAAATAAATTTCTCTTCTCTAGGAAACAAAGAGCTAGCTTAGATCCAATTTAGCAGTGGTTATGGAGCGATGTAGGAAAAAGACGATGATCTCAATGCCACGACAAGGGATGGATCTTCGAGGCGAGCCATGAGGTTCATTCATCGTGGCAAAAACCAGCTCATGTTTATTCCTTGATCGTGAACTTCAATTCTCTCAGTCTATTTTAAATTTATCGTGATAAAACTAAAATTTCAAGATGGGAATCACCCTATCTTTTAAAATCTCCGCTATTAAAATTATTTCTATTTTTTTTCCAGAGTATTATTTTAACTAAACAAACATAAAGAAAACAGCAAAACGCATTTAAAACATGGAGCAACAAAACCTATCTGAATCAGGTTGGTGATCATACTGTATTTTATAAAATATCAAAATTGTTCTTGTGGCAGACCAGGTACCAAATGTATCTCTTGATTCACTCGAACTTTAGTTTTTCCTCGTATTTATTTCTCACTCTTCTTTCCCTTTCTTCAATACCATATGATTTCTTCTTCTCCGTTCAATCTATAATATGTATGTGGGAGATACAATAAATTTATTGTCAATTTCTATAGAAAGAGAGAAAATCAATAAGTTCTTGAGGGAAAAGAATGGATTTGGTTAGAAGATAATAAATCAAATACTTCAATCTTTATTGATTTACAAAAAAAATTAACACGCAACATATTCTGTTAACAATTTACTAATTATAAATAGAAAAATAATCTAAAAATGTTATACACATATAGTGTATTCTTTTCTTTTCTTATTAAACAAAAAATGTAAACAATAAGACAACTGTTTTTTTAAATGGGAGTATATAAAGGATTCATTTTTTCTTGATAACTTATTGAGTTTCTCTCTCTCTCTCTCTTTCAATGATAATTAACATTAAACTTAAAGATTTTGTATTCCCATCCTGAAATTTAGGGCGATGAAGTGTATGATTGGTGCTGACAACCAAGATGTAGCTTTCTTTACAGACTGTTCAGATTTGGTGAAGATGGTGTCTTCCCCAACCGAATGGCCGGCCTTCTCAGTGTATTTGGAAGATTTGAAGAGTGACAAGGAAGAATTCTCTAATTTTTCTTTATCTTTAATTCCGCGTAGCGCAAATGTAAAAGCGGATAATTTGGCACGAAAAATTCGTACCGAACCGCATCATATCACTTATGTAAACAACATTCCACATGAATGGCTCTTTTGAGCATCCATTTTATTTAAGCTGTTGACAAAAAAAAAAAAAAGGGAAAAGAAGGCGATATGGTTTTGAAGATATGGAAAGAGAAATGAAAAAAGAATAAGAGAGAAGCTAGAGTTCAAGTGAGATCATAGATATATTTCGTATATGGTCATGCATCAAGAACAATGGATCTTTCATAACATGCAATATAATCACCGGATTTATTCAGACATGTTTTCTATTTCCACTACTTTAAATTGTTTTGCTATTTTCTTCTTTGT